CCCCCCCCATCAGCCTGCTCTCTTAGTCTGTTTTGCTTGTTAGTTCATTTTGTTCATTAAGATTCCACATATGACAGAAATCGTATTTGTCTTTCCTTGTCTTTAACTTTTGACAATTTAATTATGTCATGTTTACATAGAACCTAGTCAGTATTCAATTAAAAAAAGTTATTTTGAAATATAAAAATAAAAATGTCATGTTGTGTCTCTTGAGATGCATCTTGTTTGGAACTCCATGAGCTTCCTGGATCTAGATGTCTGTTTCTTTTCCCAGGTTAGAGAATTTTACAGCCATTATTTTTTTCAAATAAGTTTATGCCCCTCTCTCTTCTCTTTCTGGGACCTGTATAATGCAAATATGGTCTGCTTGATGATGTCCCAGAAGCCCTCCCCTTCCCATTCCTGTCTTCTTGCCGCTCTGATGTAATGAGTTCCATCGCCCTGAGTTGGGTAATTTTCCCCCGCTTCATCTAGCCTATTGTTGACCCTTCTACCGACTTTTCAGTTCAGTCATTGCGTTCTTCAGCCCCACGTTCAGGACATTCTTGTATTTTCTGCCTTTGTGAGAGATTTTCACCTTGTTCATGCCTTGAGACCTGGTCTCAGTGAGCACATCTACGACCGTATTTTGAACTCTGTCAGGTAAATCATTTCTCTCCATTTCACGAAGGCCTTTTTCTGAGTCTTTTTTAAAAATTTGGAACATATTCCTGTTTAATCACTTTCCTTGACTGTTGGTTTCTGTGGATTAGATAAAACAGGCACTTCCCTGTCCTGAAGGAGTGGTGTAAATGAACTTCATTGTTCAACCCTACCCTAGTTCTCGGCTCTCTCAGAACTGAGTGATGGTCCAAGCAGCCGTCTTGGTCCTAACGGGCTCCCAGTAGTTGAGGATGTGCCAAGACCCGTCCATGTCCCAAAGCGGAGGGCCTGTCAGCACCTAGCTGCAAGCTGACTGGAAGTCATGCCCTCAGGAGGTTTTAAATATACTCAGTGGGAGATGGGTTTCTGTCTGCTCTTTCTCTGCTGAGCCCTGGGGGTTGGGGGTAACCAGCTAAATCTTATTTGCTACAGTCCTGTGGGAGCAGCAAATGTAAATACCACTTGGTCACCAGATGATCAAAGGATGTCCCATGTGGCAGCCACAAAACCTGGGGTGCCAGATGTGTGCAAAACCTTTCCGGGGAAGTATAACCACCTAGAGTGAGGCAGAGGGCCAACACAAACACAGTGCTGTCCTCTGTGTTCTCGGGGAAGGACTGTAGTCAGCTCCTAGGTATGTTAAAGTTCAAGCCAGCCCCTCAGGTTGAAGCACTGAAAGTTGCACACAGGCCTACCCACCGAGACTGGGTACACGTCAGTACACTGCCTCTGCCGGCCTGGGAGCTCAGCCAGGGGGGGTCCACGCAAGCCTGGTAAGGACTGTTCTCAGCTTGCCAGATAGCCTGTGGGTCTCATGGACACATGCCCTGCTGCCTTTCAAAGCGGGATGTTTTGGGGGCCTGCCTCTTGGGTCGAAGTCTTAAAAGGTGGGGCACCAGATGTGAGAGCCAAACCATTTGCTCTGAGAAGCTGGAAGTCACGAGTTTTATTCCAGCTGTGTCACTGTTACCAGTGGTGGGGTTTAATGCCACATGTGTCTCAGCCTCTCCTGCCCATTTCACTGTGGGCTTTTTTCTTGTTCACCCACAGTGTAGGTCACTCAGCTAGTGTCTGGATTTCTTTCAGGGAATTGCTCTGTATGTAGCCACAGATAGTGTGTGTTCACGAGAGATGAGTTCAGGAACCTCTTATGCTGCCATCCTGTACTAGAACCTATCCATTCTTTAAACTTTTTACCTCCTCAAATAAAATGTCTAGAATACCAGTTGTTTAATAAAGAGTTCTCTATCAGTAGTTAATTAACACGGCATAATTTTTTAAAAATGTTTTTTATTGATTTTTAGAGAGAGAGGGAGAGGGGGATAGAGAGATAAAAACATCATTGATTAGTTGCCTCCTGCACAACCCCTACTGAGGATCGAGCCCGACACCCGGGCATGAGCCCTGATGGTGATCTCTTGGTTCCTGGATTGATGCTCAACCACTGAGCCACACTGGCCAGGCCAGCACAGACCTTTTGAGTGATTACTAAGTATCAGAAGAGCAAGCTACTAAATAATACTGTCCTGGACTCATTATTGATATGTCGCAGTTTGTAATAAGCCTCAACCATAATTTTGGTTAGTCACCTCTCACAAAATATATCTGTCAAGAGGATTGGGCAACAGGATGAGTGCAAATCCACTGTTAAACATTTAAAAAAAAAGACTCAAGCCAGCAAATCCCTAACAATTTTACATATAATCAATACATTTAGACTTAGCTTGATAGTTGACCTCAAATTTTGTCATTACTCATTTTGAAATAAGCAGAAATATTTCCTTTTCATCTTTAGAATCAATTTTATCCTTTATGTATTAACAGAAAATTTAAAATGCACTTGGTTAATTAACCTTCGTATTATTTCACTGAATATATATGATTTAAGACCTTTACCTGAGTTTGTTGGTAGACATAAGGATTAAGACCAAACTATTATACAAAAATTATGTTAAAATTGTTTAAAAATACTACTTCCTCATTAAAAACTTTCTCATACTAAGTAGCTTTGTAAATGTGTCCCACAGGAAACAATGTAATGATTCTTCTCTGATTAATGTACTGTAAAGAAAATTTCTGCTTTGAATAGTCAGAAAACAACCAATTTAAAGAAAACTTTTGCAATAAAAAGTCATTATACAATAATTATTTAATTTTATTTTTCCTTATCTTAATCACATACTTTAAGTAAAAAAGATATGAAAGATGTTAAAAGCTGGGAAACTGAGATAGGCAAGCATCATTAATACCAAAACAGAAATTCCAAATGGTTCCACTGTCACAATTGAAACGCATCTCCTTTTCAGATCCAGCCGCCTGGCAGAATGCACGCCGTTGTGCTGGAAATGGTGGTTACCCGAGGCCACTGCGCACAAAAACGGCGCTGCTGAGAGAAATGGCACTTTAGAGGTGCTCTGTTGCACTAATGCGGCCATTACCTTCAATTCTGCCAGCTGTTCTTTAAATACCCAGTGACACTGATATGACTGTAGAAAACGGCCTCCTGATATATTATTACTAATAAGATACAGATTACTTCACATGGCTCCCAGGCAGCACTGGCTTTAGAGCTGATTCCACAGGCACATACTTAGGCCAAGTTACAGGATATATAGTACTTCTTATTTTATTTACTGCCTACGATGTTTTTCAGTTGAGTCTGAAATTATACTGATAGGCAGGAGCACACAGGTACCTGTACACTGAGCTAGGGACTCTGTGAGAACTGTGCATTACACACGCTAGTACTCTCCCCAGTGCCCAGCACACCACTATAACTGGTAGAGTAACTCGGTAAATATTTACCAGGCTTCTTCAGGCATTCCATTTTGGGATTCTTATAGAAACAAACCAATTTAAAGAATTTTCTGGGCTTTGAAAATTTAGTAAATGAAAGGCACTTGCCATTACCGATCATAATTCAAAAAGGTGGTATTAACTTAAGGCTAGAAGTAATTATTCTGTATGTGCCTACATGTGTAAAATGAAATCTAAGATACGGAGTTATGTAATACACTAAAAACAACATGGGAGAGCCTATAAAGAATAGGGTTACACTTGAAAATAAAAACTTACTTTTTCTATAAATTGGAGCTATAAAGTATTTATGAGGAAATACTGGGCAAGGAGGTAAAATGATAATTTAAAAAAACAAAGCTCTTCCAATATAATAAAGCAGAATCCTAATAGGTTTTTGGGAAAACAAGATTATTTTTTAATTCACTAATCTATCTTTTGCTCAATTAGGATTTTTACCATACCATACACCCTGGATTATAACTTTTTAAAAAAAATTCTCACCTGAGGATATTTTTTCCATTGCTTTTTCAGCAAGAGTGAGGGGGGGGGAGAAAAAGAGAGGGAGAGAGACAGAGAAACACCGATGTGAGAGAGACACATCAATTGGTTGCCTCCCACACACTCCCTGACTGGGCCCGGGGATTGAGCCTGCAACCGAGGTATGTGCCCTTCGCTAGAACAGAACCCAGGACCCTTCAGTCTGCAGGCAGATGCTTTATCTACTGAGCCAAACTGGCCAGGGCAACTAACAATGTTTTGTTAAAATTCAAGGAAAAGATTTTTAGATTCTTTGAGTCTGAACAACTGAGAAATTAAAAGATCTCATTCTTAGATTTATACACTTAATTTACTTACAAAAATAACTTGTTATTGTGCCAATATTTATCTGAACATGGCAGCCTCCAACAGTAAACTAATAACTGGAATGACTACATTATCATTATAAGCTACAGTGAAACAAAACTCAAAGTTATTTTTCCTGTTTGAATAATGAAGAGAATAGACAAGAGGGAAAAACAACTACTTTGAAGAAAAACAGGCAAATGTAAATAAAAAATACATATCAAAAGAGCCCACCCAGAAGACAGAAACATAAATATTAGAAAGATGCTTCAAAAGTTAATTACTATCATAGGGAAAACTTTTATGAAAAATATTTAGAAAATAAATTAACACATATCTTTAAAATATAGAACTCTAAATGATATATTTGGGATACTCTACAGTGCCCTGTTAAGTGCTGTACATATTTTTTTCCTCAGGTATTTCTGGATGCTGTAGAAATCTATAGAATTTGTTTACTTACTGTTATAAAAAACTTTCTTAACTGTGAAAATTAAAATCAATTCTTCAACCCGTAAGAAAGGAAAGAATGAAGAATCTTTTCATTGTAATATATCATGAAAATAGGGTATCTGTTTATTTTGCCACATGGTATTTTTAAAATGAAATATATGATTAGAGAATCAATTTCGGAGAATTTTTAGAACAGGTGACTGAAAACCAAGTTCTCTCTGGTCAGGGGAGCCACAACACTTTAAGTGATAAAGTTCACTTTGTACTACTTAGACATGTACGTATATACCAGCAGAGCAGGCTCATGTTCGAGCCAGTCAGCCCAAGCATCGTTTCCATTTCCAGCAGTCTGCAATCTATGGCTCACGGATTGAATGTGGCTTGTGATCTACTTGTGGATGGCCCTCAGCTAAGAATTGTTTTGACATTTTTCAAAGGGTTGTAAACAAAACAAAACAAGCATATATGACAAAGAACTGCATATGGTCTACAAAACCTAAATTTTTACAACGTGGCCCATTATAGACAAAGCTTGCAGCCCTTCATTCATACCAATATAGAGAATTTAGTGCAATTACAAGTCCAATATAATGTTCACTTATTCCCACCATGAATGTAGTAACAGTCTAAAAAGATGTCTTCTGATGTCATTTGTCAGAATTTCTTTTCAACTTTTTCTTCATCTTCAATATCATTAAAGTTCATCCTTCAGTAACATAAAAGTAATTGAAAGAGAAAAAACCCGAGTTTACAATAGTAAAAACAAGGTAAAATAATATAAACTAACCACAATTTTACCCTCTCAAAAATAATTACTCTGTATTCTTATTTAATGGGTCCACCACATAAAAAATGAAACTTGCCTACCTAGCGATGTTAGAGAAAAGGGTATCACATAGTTCTTACCTGCCCACAACAGATACTATCAATTACAGTTTTACACATTCAAAGTCATACTTTGATGTGCTCTTTAACTTAATTTTAGGAACGATATTCTGATTTATGAGTAAAAGTGTTTTCTATTTTAAATGTTTAACTTAAAAGTTGCAATTAAAAAAAATAAAAATATCTTGAGAAAACATAGCTAAACAAACTATCAGGAAAACATTTTTTTGTTTGTCTATTTACTGAAACCAAGAAAATAAAGATTCATAACTATCTCTTCCCTATCTTTTAGATTTGGATAAAACAGAATTCTTGAAACAGGCTATAAGACTTTCTATACTGGGGTGTGGTGTTCTAATGATTCTACAGAGCCAGATGTCTCTAGAACTCTCCAGAGGCTATGCTGTTTTTCTGTCCTTTCATCTTAGAGGAAAAGAATCCAAGAAACCTCATATGTGATTGTATTAAATTCCATCCAGAAAGCCCTCTAGCACTCATGGACTCATGATTTAAAGATGAAAAAAACCAAGAGTTTCCAAAGGAGAGCAGAAAAAAGGTTATAACTGCTTGCTAGGTTAAAAATTCAAGGAGATGCCAAGATGCACATGGGCTCCAGTACATCCTGACTATCCCAAGAACAAAAGAATACTTACTATCCACATGTGTCAGGAGGCTCCAGTATAATTATTTATATTTGAACAAAAGTTAAATAACTTATGGCCAGTCATTACTTCTTGTTAAATGGTTTTACTTGTCCAAATTCCTAAGCATTTCAGAGTTTACAAGCTACATTCTGATTCTCATATTTCCCAAAGAATTTCCAACTACTTACTGTTTTTTGAAGCTTCATTTTACCTGTTTATTGACACGTATAAAGTGTAGGAAGAATAACTAGATAATGTTTACAAACTCGGCTCTAGATTCAGTTCTTACCTTATTTCTCATTCCATGTTTTTGGAGATTTTCCAATTTTTCATATATTAAGGTTGAAATCTCTTTTGCATCTCTGGAATCTATTTGCTCTCCCCAAATATTTCTCTAAAATTAAAAACACTTTTAAGTATGTAATCAAAACATGACATTTCCATCTAAGAAACTTGATTAAAATACTACAAAAGCACAGTTAACCCATTATTTACCTGAAATAAATACAAATGATACTGTTATAAGAACATGTAAATTAATCAACCCCCTGGGAAAAATGCACTGCTAACACCAAATGCCAACTAAATTGTATAAGAAAAGATATGCCCAGAGGACTGAAATAGTTCTAATACAATCTCTGGCACAGACAAAACCATGATCAACTATGACAATGGAAAGCAATGTTTATCCCCTGGCTCTCCTCTGCCCACAGCAGGGAGGTGGCTGAAAAGCAGGGGAGGGGACAGGTCCATATACCCAACTCTGCTCACCTGGGATCTAGAGCCATCTGTCTCATTCCTCCTGGAGGGAACCCCACATTTGTATGTTAGTATTTTGTTTCTTTGTATAACTGCCTACCTGGGATTGCATTTCTGTTTAGCCCCATCATATTCTGCCTTGGCCTCACTGGACCTGGACTTCTGGGTGCCACCCGTCTTTCAGTTTGAACAGGGCTTTCCTGGGTCCTAATCTGTCCTCTGAATTCCTCTGAGCACATGGTAACATCAGCTTTTCAAAGAGCTCCCTCTATGGCCTGATCATATCTGTGACTGCTCATTTTATTGATATTTCCCCAACATCATTTCATATGAAAAGACCCCTATTTATGTCACCCATTTCTCAGCTGTTCTGAAAACTGGGAAGTAGAGCTAGTGATTCCAAAGGAATGAAGATTCAGGCTCAGGTATAAGCTCCTTTCCCCTCAAATTATGCTTAACCTATGCTGTTTGTAAGATAGAGTTAGCCTCTTGGACTACTCAAAATCCTTTACTGGTAAATCTAGGTGTTTGGCAATTCCAGATTTCTGAAATTCACCATTTAATTTCTTTATTTAGTTCTATTAGAAAATATATTATAATTACCAATAAATAAGAGCTTAATCTGATATTCTTTGTCAAAAAGTACATATTAAAATATTTGAAATTTCATATTTTATCAGAAAACATGAATATTGTACAAGGCAAATATTTTATCACAGTACTATTGTAAAAAATGTCATTCTTTACTTGGGAAGATAGCAAAGGTCATAAGTACTTTCAGTGAGGAATTATACTGGCTGACAAATATGCTCTTTTTAAAAAAAATTTTTTTTTTTTAGAGAGAGGAGGGGGAAAGGAAAAGGGGAGACACACACAAACATCTACTTGTTGTTCTATGTATTGATGCATTCACTGGTTGATTCTTGTATGTGCCCTGGCTAGAGATGGAACCTGAAACCTTGGAGTACTGAGATGATGCTCTAACCAACTGAGCTACCCGACCAGGACCAGACATATGATTTTGTATTAATAATCATAGAAGTTATCACCTGAATTTGAATTTCAAGACCCATTGGTAGATGTCTAGTTTCTTGTTGGAAAAAAAAAATATCACTGACCCAAAAAAGGAATTATAACTGAATCAAGGGACCCTAACTTTTATCTTGTAGTCTAAACCATTCATTAATAAATATTCCCCAAGAAAAATACTCAGATGCTAAGGCTCTTTCAAAAGTATTACAATAGTATAATATCCTTTCCTGGAAAAAAGAATTAATTATAAAGGTAATATATGTTAACTCTATAAAAGTAGGAAATATAAAACTTCACAGAAAGTAAATAATTACCTCGAATTTTATCACCCACAGAAAATCACTATTAGTATTTTGGTATGTCCCTTGAGTAACTTTCCTATTCATGAGTAAAAATTTTAAGGCAATGAAGATATCAACTTTGAGGCAAAAAAACTTAAAAATCTCGTCATGTATATGTAAAGAGGACCTGTTTAAGTAAAATGCAATAAAATAATGACAAAGAGAGAAGAAACTAGAAAAAAGTATTATTCAGACTAAAAAAAAAAATCTTTTGAGCCTGGCCTGCTAAAGGAAAGGAACACAGAGGAAAAACCAGTACATACCTTTGCTCCTCTGTAGGGATAAAATCTAACAGTCGGATAGGCTCTGATACCAGCTTTCTGGCATGTTTGAGCATTGGCCTGACAGTCCATTTTTCCAGCTTTCACTTTTCCTTTTATCATCTGGTAAAAAGACAAAAATGGTTTACCATTCTCTTTGGCATAAAGTATTTTGGCAACCACAAAGCAATGTAATACCAAACGTTTCAAATCTTTATAAACCTAAGGATTTGTCATTGAGATGCTGTACTTCTTCCTGGCACCCATGCCTTGTCTGCCACAGCACAAACATCTCAGGTTCTGTCTCCTCCCGTCTTTCTCTGGTCTCACGTGCCGAGGCAGCACTCATCCTGTGGAAGGCTGGCTTCTCCAGCTACACACTCCGGTTCCCTCCCCGTCAAAACTCTTACCCTATTCAGCGTATACACACATATACGATCAAAAACGGATTCCTTCCTTAACTGCAGGGGAAGGAAATAGGGAACAAGCAGGACAAGTGAGGCTTCTGCCTGCTGCGGTTAGGTAGATGATGATGTCATCCAAGGCAGAGATGTTAGCTAAACTTTTAAATAAAGGGTGACATCTACTGCAAAGATTATAGTCATATAAAAATGAAATAGTTTTTAAAATTCAGAGGAAACTTTTAAGAAAAAAAAATTATATTTAAAATGTTTTAGCTAATTATGAAAACATGCATATGACTACAACTTATTTAAGTAGATAGACAAGACCTACCCTAGCCAAGAGCTCAAACTCTGGAGCAAAATTTTGGCAAGGTCCACACCAAGGAGCATAGAAGTCAACCACCCAATGGTTTTTCCCTTGTAAAACTTTTTCATTGAAGGTCTGAGGTGTTAGATCTATGGACGCTTGAGGCAAAAATCTGTGGCAAGGAATCAAAATTATTTTTCGTTACATAAAACCAAAGCAAACTTCTAAAATATAACACTGCAAAACTCTTTAAGTTAAAAATGACTTCAAAGAATGACAGTGTAATAAACCATAACCTTATCTTGGTAAATTATAATTCTTTACTACATGCTTAAAATGCTAGAATTTTAAACAACTTACAGTAAATTTAATTACAGACATAAGAGGAAGGTAAATAGCATTAAATCAATTGTATACAATGACATATATTTTAATTACTCACCCTAGACCCCAGAGTCTTAGGGAATAGGCATCCCTATTCCAACCATTGTAACTACTGGAAAGAAAAAAAAGTCAGTTGTAAACAGTGTTTTCCATTATTGGATATGTTCAGAACACAATCTCACTGTGCCATTTAAAAGGTAAGTTTAGTCCAGTAACTTTATCTAGCATCTCTCTTCTCAGATAACACCTAGCTACAAGCACTACTCGCATGGTTTCCTAAGTATGTTTTTCACTACTCTTAATGTCTTTTTGTGCTCCACGCAGACTTGAATGTTTAGCTGCTTGCTGGACAGCTACAGACTGATGGGAATGACAAAATTCAAAATGTCCATGGCTTTAGTTTCTAAACCTTTACTCTAGTTATTACTGTCTATAATATTCCTACCCACTTTTAAGGGCCACATCAAAAGCCACCTCACAAATGCAGTATTTCATGCTGCTTCTCATAGTTGTGATCCCTTTCTTCTTTGAGATTCATGGTTCATTTTCACTTTTTTTTTTAAATCCTAACGAAGGATATTTTTTCCATTGCTTTTCAGAGAGAGTGGAAGGGGGGGAGAGAGAGAGAACCATTGATGTGAGAGAGACACATCGATTGGTTGCCTCCTGCACGTGCCCTGACTGGGGCCAGGGATCAAGCCTGCAACTGAGGTACGTGCCCTTGACTGAAACTGAGCCCGAGACTCTTCAGTCTGCAGGCCGATGCTCTAACCACTGAGCAAAAGCAGCTCGGGCGATTTTTACTTCTTAAGTAATATTCATTATATTCTGCCTTGCTTTTTCCAGTTTTCTACCTGAAAAACCATCTGATGGTGTGGAAACATGGGCACTAAAACAGACCTGGGTTCAAACTTCAACCTCAAACCTTAGCAGCTGTTATTTAAGTTAATCTAAGGTCTCTGAATCAGTTTACTTATCTGTAATAGTGTAGGAAGGGTAATAATTTTTGTTTTTCAGGGTATGTGTGAGGACCAGTGGAAATAATGTGAGCAAAGATCTAGTACAGTACCTGAAACTAAACAGGGTCTTAATAAATATTAGTTCTTTTCTCTCCTTATTTCTTCTTTACTAGACGGTTAGCTTCATGAACTATGGAACTGTTCAATTCTCTTTGCATCTTCTGAAGTTCTCATTAGCACTTAATCATAGTGAGCTCCCAAAAAATATTAGTTGGGTTAACTTTCATTTAGTTAGGATGACTTTTAAATTTTAACTGTATAAATAAATGATTATAATAAATACCTTCTAATTTTAGATGATACTTACTGATATTGATCAGCTTGATTTGATTTTGGGGGGAAAAATCTTATCTCAGGGTATCTTTGAACATTTTCTTGAGCACAAAAAGAATGAAACTGTTGGCAGTCTATGCTGCCCACATTGATCAGTCCAGTTAATGCCTATAAAAGAAAAAAAAAAGGAGACAAATATATCAAAACGATTAGAATAAAATTAACTCCATAACTACTTTACATATATATGCAATAGAGAAACTGTCACTATGAGACGATCATTATACTATTTATCAGTGATTTTGATCAAATAAAAATAAGGGCTGAAAAATAGAACATTTATAGTAATAAACTGGAAATCTAATTTTATAGTTAAGAACTTATAGTTATTGCGTATTAAATGATTTCATTCGCCCATTACATAGGGAAGATAATTTATTTCTAAAATTTAAAGTGTTAGAAACCAAGAACTAATGAGGTCTTGACAGTATTTCAGAGTTTCTTTTTCAAATAGAGACATGGGTTGTGGGTAGCACACTGACTCATACCTAAATTTAAAAATTTTAATGAAAAGAGCACAAAATTGTATTATCTCAAAGGTTAAGATACCAGAAATCACTTTAACTCTTAGGTTTGTTCATTTATCTTAGAAATAAATATAAAATAGTTACAGCATTTTCCATTCTGGTATTTAAGTAATTTCTTTTTAATTTTTCATGATTTATGTAATACTAAGTCTATTTGTATGAAAATTTAAGAATCCAAATGTGTTGCAGATCAAGACTATTCTGTTTATTTTTTTACTTTTAAGTCCTACAATATTGTGAAGAAACTGTATATTTGAGCTCTAAAAATAAAAAGTAGATACATTTTATTAGAAAATAAAGGAGAAATTTGGTCAAATATGTATACAGTAACAAAAAAGGGTAGATGACTCTATACCATTCACATACCAGACAGAAACTGAGCTGAAATTTAAGTGAAATCAGAATTGTTAAGTTATAATCTAGAGGTGGGCTTACTCATCTCAGTTTCAAAATCATTGTTAAATAAACATTCTTAGTAAATGTTAAGATTTAAAATGGGGGGCTAGATGTGGGGCAGAGAGAATCAATGGGGAAAAAAGGGGGACATCTGTAATACTTTCAACAATAAAGATTAAAAAATAAAATAAAATAAAATAACATAAACTATTTTACTATACCCGGGCCATTCTTCTCCATTCTGGCATTAAAACTTGACATGGATGACACCACGGAGAATAGAAATCAACCATCCAGACTTCATCATGTTTTCTTTGTTTAACTAGTTCATTGAAAGTGGTGGGTGACAGGGAGATCACTGAAGGATGCATAAGATCCTAAAGACAACACAGCTTTCATTAAAAGATATATAAAAAAAAGAGTTGTTCATATATTCTTGGCAAATTGTTGGTATCTATTATTTAGAAAAAATTTTTTTTGAATATTAAAAAGATACTTAAGGGTTTTTAAAGAGAATCTATAGTGAGTTATTTTAGAAAGGAAGAAATGATCCCTAATTTACTTATGAAGTTTGAATTTTCACTATCAGTCTTCTTAAATCAAGGTATATTTTGTTCCTATTTCTATGTATTATTAAAATAAAGAGACAACTTTATTTAAAATTATGAGTAGATAAGGCAAGATTTCCAGGAGCTGCCCAGATATTTGCATAAGCCATATAGTTCTGTTCTGGAACCAGTGATTGGTTTGAAAAGGGCCTTTAATTAATAATTGAAAGCCTACTAATCTATCTTCCTGACATTCTGACTGGAGGTACTGCAGAACCTCTCTACAGATCCTGGCTCCAAATGTTGTTTTAACAAAGCTTCAGTCTATCATGATTGGGTAATATTAATGAAGATGTTAACTTCACTGGGGCAAACAAAACCAAAACAACACAAAACCAAAACAACTATTCTGGAGGAGGAGGGAGGAAACAGTAGGACAGTAAGTAGAATGGGCACTACAGAAATAATAAGCTAAAATTTTTCATTCTTAGGAAGCCCCTGTTAACTCTTTCAGTCAGTTAAGACTATTAGTGAAAAGAAGGAGATGCTATAGATATATGGCACTTCTGTGCTAATAACACAGGTGTGGCATAGCTGCCCAGGTTTGAAAGGCCCTCCAGTGGGGGCTGGGTTAAGCTACCCTGACCCACCCACACACTTCCTGGGTAATAGTGAGCTTACCCCTGTCTCATCTATATGGGACCTAAAAGAAGTAAGCTGTGATGGTTCTATCCAAGAAAACATGGACAGGGGGTGGCAAACCTTTATGTGAAAGTATAATTTCATGTATTTAATAAACAGTTGTGCCTACTAAGTACAAGGCACTGAGCTAGGTAATAAACAAAACACGGACTTATTCTTAGAGTTTATAGTAAGTATATAATATGAGTAAAGCATTAGAAAAACTGTAAGAAATTCATTTTCTTGTTAGAAAATAATGTTTTAGCATGAGAAGAATAAATCCTATTATTAAACATGATTAAATATTTATATAAAGTGTACACATACACAGAAGGATTTATAGCCATGAACTTAAAATAACTTAGATTACTTCTATAATTTATAATACTACTGAGTTAAATTAATTTAAATAACCTCTATGAACTCCAAGATCTGTTCGGCAGAGTGATGTCCTTCATATTCGTGGACGTTGGACTGGTTGAACACCACTGTTGTTGGATAAGCCTGAATGTTATACTGTTCAGAATGAGAAAACAAGTTAAACATGATTTTATATATTTAACCTATTTGTTTCAAATTTATAACCAGCTTCCCTTTATTTAAGTAACAACAAGGTTTAAAAATCCATCACTAAATTGCTGGTGACTAAAAATTTTTGGCCAGGACAAATTTTGCAAAGGAAATGGATTCACAGTTGTAGTGACAAATACCTAACCCTTATTTATAGGTACTCCATTAGACATAAAATCCATAGACATGAAATGCAGAGAAGAGAGCATGAGTAATTATAAGCTTGGTCCCTTTTTACTCTCCCAAACTAAGATGCATGAGGCTGTAAAGAGCAGGCTAATCTCTAGCTTAAGTCTTTTTCGGAAACTATGATAAATATTCCAATTTGTCTAGAAGTAGAAGAAAATAAAGAAAATAGAATAGCAAGAATAAAGAAATACATTAATAATTAATGTGGACACAACCATATTTTAGGTTTAAGAATGATGAATCATGCCCTAAGAATGTGGTCATTATTTATTCTTTATATTCAAGATACCTTTTATGGTACAAAATACAATTTCCTCCTCAGAATTAACATGAACAGTAGCTCAGGAAGCATTTCTCTAAAGTTTTAATTTTTACTTATTCTTTTAAAAGTTATAAAGAGATCTGTGGATTTGTTGTAGCTGAATTTTGCACCTTTAAAGTTGACAAGCACTTATTAGTAAATTGGAATCTTTGACTAGGGTTCAAAAATAATTTTAGAGCTCTGGATGGTGTGGCTCAGTGGCTGAGCATCAACGCATGCACCAAGAGGTCACTGGTTTGATTCCCCATCAGGACACATGCCCATGTTGGAGGCTCAATCCCCAGTAGGGGGCATGCAGGAGACAGCTGATCGACGTTGACTCTCTCCCATTGATGTTTCTGTCTCTCCCTCTCCGTCCCCCCCCTAAAATAAATAAAAACATGCTTTTTAAAATGTAGATGTCCATTTGAAAAAGTTATTTTATTTTAATATTAGATTAATGAGAATACATTTTTAATATTTTGCCTTACCATGTTACAGAGTCCCTCATGAACTGTACAATCTAGTGTACCAAACTTAAGCTGACCATAAAGATGCTTTGATGCTTTTCGTAATTCTGGCAATAAAGCTCGACATGGTGGACACCACTACAAAAGAAAAAATATGCATAAGCACTGAGCCAAGTAAAATGAAAAAACAAAAACCCACATCATTTTTTTAACGAGCAGTATGCTAAGTAAGAAAAACACACTTAGTTGCGAATCTTATGCTTATATATGTACTTAATTCTTAGAGGGAAGCACATCAGTGCTCTCTTAGATGTACTATGTGGCCAAAACTGTACCCATGCTTCAAGGTTACTTAGAAAATCTCTTCACTGTAACAAGAGAAAATCTGACAATATTGAATTCTGACAGATGAAAATAACTTACAGGGGCAAAAAAATCAACAAGCCATGGTTCTTTGTCATTGGCAGGAAAATTCTGAGGTCCCAGTGTGGTGACATGAGAATGAACACTTTCTTTGGCAAAGGCAAGTATATCATATACAATCTTCTTTCCTTTGAAATTAAGAGAAAAGTTAAAACCCACATTCTGCCTTTTATCCATAAAAACACTTCAAAGTTTTTATACTTAAAATGTTAAAGAAAGATAAACATATGAACAAATGGATTTTGGTGAGGTTTTAATGTTCTGTAAGCTATATGTACACAGGTTCACTCTGCCGGGAGCACCCAGTTAAAATGTCAAGATCTCTTTGAAAGTGTCTGTTTATCCTCAGAGGCAGAATTTTAATGTCCTCGCAGTGTTCTTAGAGTTCTTTATGCTTACCTGAGCTATTACTATGGCCTAACTCCTAAATCTGTTACTTTAACCTAGACTTCTATTATGAATGCAAAAACCTGTACTGCCAGCTAGCTACTGAAAAACTAACCTGGATGTCATACAAACATTTCAAACATAATACTATGTCCAAATTGAAGTTCTTTCCCCCCAAACTTGCTTCTTCTCTCCTACCCTACCTAGGCAATGGCGGATCATCACCTAGATGCCTAAAGATTGCCCAGAGGGATTCTTGCCTTCTTTCTTTGGCCCTGTATCACAACTCCATCCCTTTTATCTCTTGCCATCTCCAACCCCAACTTAGGCTACTGCATAAGCTGTTTGGCCTACTGCAATAACCAAGCTGGTCTTTCTGCTTTTTCTTATCTAGTCCATTTACTACATTGCTTCTATAAAAAACATTAACCTAGTCATGCTGTCCCCTCGCCTGAAGACCCTTGGCGATTTGCCATTGCCTAAAATTCACGTACTTCTCGGCTTGGCAAATAAGAGCTTTCTCAACCAGCATGCTCCCTTTTCCCATGTGCCCTTTGGCTTACTCACTCAATAGTCAATACTAAGTCAAGCACCTATTATGGGTCAGGCCCTGCTTTAAATGCTGCAGGGCATCCATCATAAGACACAGGCTTCTCCTTCAGGAGCTCACAGTCCAGTGGGAGAGTTCCACACATACTTGGATGGAGTGAGGACACCACTCTCTCCCGCTCTCTTCCTCCCCCTCCAGCTGCTGCTGCTGGGGTTCTTTAAAGAATCTTCTCTTTGTCCCTTGAAAGTGATCCTTAGGGCTCTGATCTTGTCTATTTACCCAGACAAGCTCATCCTCTCAAGGTTGAATTCACTAATGCGACGATTATGTACCTTTTTAGCTGTGACATTCAGCTGTGGAGGGGGTGTACTCCCCACCCACTCCTCCTCTGGGAATGACACAGTCACTCACTCAACCAAGCCACTGAGGCAGAAACTTGGGCCCCCTCTTCCTACTCTCTCGCAGGTAAACAATCATCACGTTATACTGATTTTGTATTCTTGGCATTTGAAAAAACCTGCCTACTTCTTTCATCCACACCACCACTGTTTAGATAAGCAGCCATCTTCTCCGACATGAACGTGTCGGGCTTCTATCTGCTCCCTCTTCCTCCAGTCTTGCCTCTATCCAGTCTCAGCACCCAGTCACCGTTCTAAAATGTAAAACTAGCTAAATTATATCTCTGCTTAAATCCAGGAATGCCTCTGTTGCTCTGTCCTCAGTACAGAGTCCACATTCTTTTACCTGTCAGAGGAAAAACATAGTTTGAATCCCTGGTACACTCTCTAGCCTCAAGTCTCATTCTTTTCCAACACTCAACATTCTAACTATCCTGAAATTCTTGCTTTCTAAGAATAAGTGAGGCTCTCCTAGAGTCCATGAATACAATTGCTGGTTCCTTTGCTTGGAATGTGTTTGCTACCTCTTTATTTAGGTAACTGTTACTTACACTTTAGGTCTCAATGAAGAGATCGCTTTCTTTAAGCTCAGAAAATTATTCCTCCTAACTGTTCTTCCTAAGTGTAACCCATGCTTATCTCTTGTGGTAGCCAGTCTCTAAACCAACCCCCCAGTAACCTCTACCTCATGTACTCTTACCATTGTACTAGGGTTGGTGTGGGATCAGATTATGAAAGATATTGTTGCTTCTATGTACGTGTGTGTGTCTCTCTCTAAGCCTTCATTCTGAGAGAAGCCGGCTGCCATGCTGTGAGCAGCCCTATAGAGAAACCCATGTAGTAAGAAACTGAGGACTTCTGACTATTGTGAAAACTTGGTCATTTCTAACATGTTAAGGAGGTAGTATTTAGTGAGCTGGAAGCCTAGGCTTTGGAGTTAGACATATCTGGATACAAAACCTACACGACCCGGTTGCTGGTGGTTGTCCTGGGCTCACAAGCTACTTAGCCTCTTTCGGAGTCTCAGTGCTCGCCTGTGGGCTGCTGTGAGGATAACACAGAAATGCAGAAGTGCACAAAGCCTTGAGGGAAACGTTTGCCGTAGAGAAAGTACAGAATGAACAGTCATCATTACCAGGATTACCTGCCATACAAGCCTCTGTTCACATAGATCCTATGGCCTAAGAGACTCACTTTTTGTACTTTTATGTTTGCTTTAGGAAACTGAGCATTCAGCTCCTGACTGATACTTTGCAAGTCTCTTTGACTTTATTAATTTATATGTAATGGCCACTACACTGGTTTTCATATTTGCTTATAGATCCCCTTCCTCTTATCTGCACTGAATGATATTTTAAGCATCTTCAGAGCAAAGTTGTATCTTACAACTTTGCATTCCTAACACCTAAAACAAAGCTTGTCACATAACAGGCACGTCACTATCTGTTATCTGCTTAACTGTGTGACAGTTGGTAGTCTGCTTGCCTTTTGCTGTATTTCACCTTTTCAGGACAGGAACTATGAAGGATCCCAAACCCTAGGAACTGGAATATTGCCACATGAATGCAAAGCTGCAGTCCCAAACAAACTGAAATGTATAAATGCGATCATAAATTCAAGAAAGATGACAATGGAGCTGTCTGGCGGTCTAGTGGAGGAAACAATCTGAAGGAATGCCTGAAAATTACTCATACGGCCAAGATACTATATTTGGCAAACTGGAATGAAAACTGCAGATGTTACTTTGTGAACAAGCAAGACCCTCAAACTCCTCCCTAGCCTAACATGTCACCACAGTTCTTGCTGAAACACTGATCAAGAGTAGAGTATAAACTAACCATACACAGTTAAAAATGTCTTTCCCTGCAAGAAACAAATTTACTAATAAATGAGAGCAAAATTATTAAAAATTAGTCATGTCTTGTTTTATTGTGCTTTGCTTTATTGAGCATCACAGATGTTGCATTTTTTACAAATAGGAAGGCAAGACCCTCCACTAGCAAAAAGATATGACTCACTTTATTGTGGTGGTCTGGAACTGAACCCACAGTATCTCCAAGCTATGCCTGTACTATCTGAAAATTAAGATAATTTTTATAATTTTTTCCCTTCTTACCATGATGAATTTCATACTCTTTGGTTCCTTGTCCTTTAAAAACTGCTAGACATGGCTGAGAGACATAGAGATTGCTACAGATGTCTGGTGCAGAGGAACAGTCAAACTTGCCAACCTAAAGCAGAAAGAGAAGGTTCAATATGATGAAAATGAAATCTTACCCATTCAATTAAATATTCATAAAGAGAATCCCAAACTGACACTGCTCTAACAACAATTTCTAAACAGAAGTTAATGGTCTATAAATATAACAGACAGAAATAATTAATTTACATTTAACACTAACACTAAAACTCAATATAGTAAAAAAAAAGCAGAGTTCAAAAGCCTGAGAAGATATTTCCAAGATAATATAAAGTTGTTTAAGAAAGCCACCCTTCTAAAAATGTAGAGAATATTTATATAATCTTGGAGTGGGGGAGAAAGAAACCTTTTCATGTGAGGCCCTAGAAGCAGATAATAAAGGAAAAGGCTGACATTTTCATACATTGTGGAAGAAAACCAGTAATTTAAAATATAACTATGTATTAAATTAACAAGAAAGCACACTAGCAGAAAGCTGGGCAGGATACATTTTTCTTACTTGAATATGTTCATTTTTTAGTAGACCCTTTAGTTTCTTCAACTCAGGATCATTTGAATTTCCATTTTTTCCAAAATGAAAAAATAAGAGCCACCGGTGATGAGCCAAACGATCCTTAAAAGTGATGGAAAAAGTTGAAAAGAAATGTTAAAGATAGGAAATTCTAAGAGTTCTAATCTTCCTTTTTTATTCTCTTACAGTTAATTTTAATAATCCTACCCATTACTTCAAAATAATGTCAAAAAGTTGGAGACATCCATATTCTTATTCTGTAGTTCATTTGGAATAATACTATGTAAATCAATTATGTAAAATTACAGAAGGGTAAGAATCACATTATAAAATGTTATAGTAAACAACTGTGCCAAAAAAAAAAAGTATATATAATATGGTTTTAAGCCCGGCTGGCATGGCTCAGCAGTTGAGCACTGACCTATGGTCCAGGAGATTGTGGTTCGATTCCCGGTCAGGGCACATGCTGGGGTTGCAGGCTTGATCCCCAGCAGGGGGCATGCAGGAGGCAGCCAATCGATGACTCTCTCATCATTGATGTTTCTATCTCTCTCTCCCCCTTTCCCTTCCTCTCTCTGAAATCAATAAAAATATATTTTTTAAAAAAAAGGTTTTCAAATCATCTGGCTAAAATGTTGAGAAGTAGGGGAAGTCAGCTTTTTCAGGTTTATCAATAAGTTCGATAGTATTATTTTTAGAAAGCTCTGGGATCAATAAGTAGGAAAAAAATAATGGATTCTACTGTAAGTATTTCTAAAGCTGCTTCTTAATTCTCAGTGAAGTAACATAAACAGTTCTGAAAGCAAGAATATAAAGTTCCAAATCAGATCCAAAGTGGCCTTTTGATGAAAATGGTGCCTTTTTTGATACTCCTTTAGGACTGGTTAGGTTTTATAAAACTACAGATCCTCCCTGTACCACCAGCAGCTCCAGCAATTAGAATTTAACCTAGAATTGACTGAGATATAATCCTTTGAAACTCTTACTTTCTTATAGTGATGAATAAACCAAAAGCTGACTTTAAAATATTAAGACTTAAAATGTTAACATTATTTATTATTATAAAAATATTACCTCTAGTGTGTCTGCTGATAGTTGTTCAAAATCTGGAAGATTATGCATTATTTCCAAATATATTTCTTTAGCATCCAGTGAATTAAGAAACTAGAATAAGAGAATCGTATTATAATCTTTTTAATCAACATCCATTTATTTTAGTATCTTTTTTGTTGTTTTTTCCACAGAAGAGCTTTTAAGAAAAAAAGTCACAGAAGTTAAACAGTTTTCAAGCTATTTATTATAAATGTTGCCTTAAAAAAAACGTATCATATTTTGGCAATTATTAAAAATTGTATAACTGGGCTGTTTCTTAAAAAAGGGATGTAAAACAAATTCCATTATTAGGTGTTTTAATACCTGGAATTTTCTATTAACTGTTCTGTGCTCCAAAATAATCCTCACAATAACCTGAGTGACTCTGAATCAAGAGGAAAGAGCTATATTATGTTGTTCAATTTTATGCTAACCGTGGTTTATAGAATGCCAACGCTTTAAATTCTTTAAGAATTGTTAAAACACTTGAATATTTGAAGATCCAACATACTTCATTCCCAACCAACACTAAATAGGAACTGAGATAAGAACTTATAACTGGAAAATGAGAATGCAACTTGTTATAGAGATTTTCAGAAATAATGTCCAAAAAACTAAACTACCTATGAGTTTTGCAGAGTAAACTATATGGATAAAGATCTTATTTTAGATATGTTTTAGACCTAAGTATCTTATTTAAAACACAAACAACTGAAGAAGGCACACCTCCCTTCCAACACATCTCCTTTACTTCTGTTCATATTGTATCCCCAGCATATTTTTCTCACAAAACCTCTCTGTTGTTCTATTTCTCAGTGAAGCAGCTGTTACTACAAAGAGTGCAGCAGCAGTTATATCAAGAAAATACATATGGGTTGACAAAACAGTTTAATATATATCTGTAATTACATACCATCCATGTTTGACAATTCAAATATTACTTGAAAGATCTAAAACTCCACCGAACACTTGAAGGACCTACCACTGTATTCACAGCTTAATTGTGCCCAATATGAAAATAACCATATGGATAGAAACAATGGGAATCAGGACAGAAAACTCAGTTTTTCCCCTGAAAACTTGTTTTTGTTTTTTTAATAAAAATCTACAGCATAAATATTCTTAAAGCTCTATATGAAATGTTTTCTGTTACCAAAGCCCTTAAGAGGCCAAAAAAGAATTCTTTCATGCCTCAGTACTAGAGCTCATTCACTTTAGTGGCATTCACTATGAAGATTTCACTAAAAATACTCCTACAGCAGCTTGTAAATATGTGATGAATCCACTAGACCCTCATTATACACCTATTTGTCTTAGTGTAAAACTTGGTAGTTATATTTATAAAGGACATTGTCCTGTCTTCACATTTCACCTTCCAGACATATTTAGCTGGCACAGTATCTTCCATTTTTTTAATCTTGAATGCTTTTAGGAGGGACAACTTTAATTTATCACTCCTGGTTATTACATTTCCAGTGTCACTCATTTATGTTTTCTAAGATCGCATCTGAGCTTGCAGTTTATATCAAAAAAGTCCAAAGATCTCACTAAAATATGAGGTTGTATGTTACTGAAGGTAAGACCTTATATTAACTGTGGGCCAGTATACAGGCAAACCTCATGACCTAATGGCACAGGGTAAACGTGACTTTCTGTACAGCAGTCTGGGAACAAGACCTGAATTTAACATTGCCACAGCTATTTCATTCTAAACAGATAACTGAAGTGCAAAAAGGAGAACAAGATTCTTCATTACACTGCTTATAATCATAAAAAGTAGAAACAACTTAAATTTCTATTAAGGGAGGACTGATTATGTCACTTTTAGTCAATGAATTACTATTCAGGGACTATTGATAACTATTATATATACACAGGGGTGAGCAAAAGTAGGTTTACAGTTGTAATACAAATAAATAATACAATAAATAATAAATAATACAAGAATAAATTGTTTTGTGTACTCACAACTGCAAACCTACTTTTGCCCAACCCATGTGTGTGTGTATGTATATATGGCACATAAGTACTGTGTGTGTGTGTGTGTGTGTGGAAACATATATTTCATCAGCTGAGGTGGGGAAAACTGTGGGTAGAGCAGATTTATTAGGGACTGTCAGGAGTATAGGTACAGACATCCAAGTCTGCGACATCACTTAATACCCCAGGAGATGCTGAACAGGCAGTAGGACAGAGTACATGTCTGGCGTGGAGGGCAGAGACCTATGCCACAGATAAAGCTGGAGAGCCACCAGCACCAAGTCATAACTGTAGGTACACCTAAGTAGAGATCTGGAAGGCTATTTACCAAAATTTGATAGTGCTGGTCTGTTGGAGATTTGGTTTTAGTGAATTTTGCATCTTTCTTTACCATATATGAATTTCTGTAATAAATATGTAGGTTTATCAACATCAAAAAAGGAATTAAAATACAGAAAAGAAAACTAGCAGAAGTTTGTTCTTTATTCAAGCCTTTTCTTTTCTTTTGGGGTTTTCTAGGAACCCGCCCGATACCCCATTATTTATCCCACCTCCTTGACAACTAGTTTGACCCTCAGTTTCCTCATTCATAAAATTAGGAAGGTGAACCACACCAGTAGCTCTCTAAACTGAGTTTACCAGAATCTAACAGGCTGCTTAAAAAAAAAGATACTATTTTTTGGGTAGGTTTGGGTTCCAGCCAAACCTACTAATGATCTGTATTTCAACATCAGAAAATATACAAATAAATGGAAACCAATGAAAATTCATTTAACCTAAGAATGTATTCCGTACTTTTGGGGTTTGAAAGTATAATAGTTTATGCCAGTTAAAAAGAATTCTTATAGCCCGGCTGGTGTGGCTCAGCAGTTGAGCATCAACCTATGATCCAGGAGACTGAGGTTCAATTACTGGTCAGGGCACATGCCTGGGTTGTAGGCTTGATCCCCAGCAGAGGGGGCGCAGGAGGCAGCAGATCAATGAATCTGTCCTTCCCATCGATGTTTTTTTCTCTCTCCCTCTCCCTCTCCCTTCCTCTCTCTGAAATCAATAAATAATCTCTTAAAAAAAATAATTCTTATAGCAAATTTTACAAACGGAAGTACGTATTAAACAGAATCCCAGTAATTAAATTTGTTCTAAATTATTAAATGTTCCATGTTCAGATGGTATAAATGGATTCATTTTCTTGCTCATTGTTTACAACAAATAATGTATTCAAATGTGTGCATTTAAAGAAATTAAAATGATTCATACCAAAACATTGCTTTTCTCTTTGTCATCTAGAGTGGCTCCTGAAGGAAAATAGGCAGTAGTACTTGTTGTAATATCCAAACTTAAACAAAGGTTGGCCTGGGTGTCACAGTCCATCCATCCTACATTAACAAGACCATCCTAAAATGGAAAAACAACACAAAAAATAGGTTGTGTCACCCTGGCTGGTTTGTCCCAGCGGTTAGAGTGTTGGCCCACAGAGAGCAGGGTCATGGGTTAAATTACTGGTCAAGGACACTGTACCTTGGTTGCAGGCTTGATCCCCTGCCTGGTCAGGGCATGTGCAGGAGGCAACCAATTGATATGTCTCTCTCCCACAGGTATTTCTCTCTCTTTCCTTCCCCTCCCTCCTTCCCTCCCTTTCACTCTCTCTAAAAATCAATGGAAAAAATATCCTCGGGTAAGGATTAAAAAAAAATACGCTGTGTTGCAAGTGGAAGAAAAAGTTAAAGGAATTTGGCTTTATTTAGCAAAAAACCCATTTCTATTGTAAATTAAACCGTTCTTTAAAAACACTAAAAAATGCAGATTTGAATAACATGATTAATATTACTAATAACAGGGTACTTTAAAATTAATATTACTAACAAGTAAAATTTGATCTAGTAGATATTAAAAGAACATTAAGCTTACATAGAAAACATTATTTCAAGTACACATAGAACTTTTGTAATTTTCCCAACTGGCAAAGTCCCAACCCACAAAGGGAGCTTTCAACAACAAAGTATCAAAACTATCAACAACAAAGTCTACTCCCAGACTATAATATAATGAGAGCTAAATAAACAACAAAACAAACAGTAAAGCTTGGATATGATAAAAACACTAATACATAACTCCTTGGTTAAAGAGGACTTCATAATTAAATTACAGACTACTAAGTGGTCAAATGAACCACATGTCAAAATGTATTGAACCCAGCTAATCATTAGAAACCTGTAACTATGAATACATTTACCAGAAAACAAGAAAGATTACCAATAAGTAAGTGTTCAAGAAACTACCAAAAACAGTATCTGGAATTTGTTTTTAAATTTTTTTTTTTTTTTAAACATGGCTATCCAGTTTTACAAAATAATTGATGCTTACCAACATGCCACTAAGCCTGAGACGTGTCTGTGAAGTCAAACAATCTAGAGGGGAAAAACAGTAAGCAATTTCAGCTTTATTAAGTGTACAGTTTCATTTGCCTTTTCATAAAACTATCATTTTGATTTTAAGGCAATTAATTGAGCTCTACTGGTATTGAAACCTTTATTTACTAGGTAAATACTCTGGAAAAAGTCTCATTTTACACACAGAACACATCTCTCTCTCACTCATTCTCTTGTTTCTTCCCCCTAGCTTCCCAGGGTTTCTACTAGAGAGAAAAGGGGCAATTTTCTCTCAAGCATTCCTTCAGGATCTTACTCTCAAATCTCTCCTCCTATCAATAATCCTCTTTATCTAAGACATCTCATAATTTGGGGGAAATAACATGTAATGAACCTATTTGATAAAAATATGCAAAAAAATCCTTAAAATAAAACAGCTTCTTCACTATTTTTATAAAAGTTCTGTAAATATAAATAGTAGGACTAAATGAGATAAATTCAGAAGGGAGTTGTAGCATCACAGAGCCTATAGAGATAGGTAAAATCTCTAGTTTTAAAAGTTTTCTTCATGTGTAGAATGGACAAAAATCTCCTCAAGGGTAGACTAAATTTAAGAGTAATTTTATTTTCAATGCAATACCTCTTCAACATAGCAGCATAAAACCTGAGAGGTGAAGTGTCAGAAAAAGATCTGTGTTGGGAACAAACATATGAAAATGTATTAATGAATTAGGATACTTTATAATACTGGGACCAATTTTTAACCAACTGCATTGCTTGAATACAGCTTACAGTTTGTGGTTTGGTTATGTAGAATATTGAATTTTCAACTTAATCTACTGGGGAAAAGTTCCTAGAAACAGAAAGTTGTCACCTTCAAATATATTTTATGAGGTAAACATGTATACTTTTTTTTTTAATATACCTTTACTGATTTCAGAGAGAGGAAGGGAGGGGGGAGAGAGTTGAAACACCAATGATGAGAGAGCCATCATTGATCGGCTGCCTCCTGCACGCCCCCGATCGGGGATCGAGCCCGCAACCTGGGCATATGCTCTGACTGGGCAAATTAAACCTCGATCTCCTGGATCCTAGGTCGATGCTCAACCGCTGAGCCACGCTCAGTCAGGCAACATGTACACATTTTGATATGCATAAGTATGAGGCAAAGTCAATAACTCCAAAAAATTATTATTTTGGGAAGATTGTATCTGTAAATGACTATTTTTGCAAAATGCCAAATATGTACATCTGTGGCTATCTGAACATACCATTTACTGTGAATATACTTAGGCTGAAAAACTTGCCCACCAAATAGAAACCTTAAATGATACTTCGAGAAATTAATAATTTTAAAACCTCTGTGTAAAATAAAAAGGTAAATATTTATTAAATAAAAAATTATAACCTTGGATATAAATGATAGTTTGAAGTACTGAACATCATTTATAGTAGTATACTTAAGATGGTCACCTAGTCTAAGGGTTCACACAGTTATATGATTAACAAGTCCTGGGGATCTAATGTACAGCATATAGTGATTACTAATAATCACTATATAATAGTATATTATATGCTTAAAAGTTGCTGAGAGAGATCTTAAATGTTCTCACTAAAAAAAAAGAAATGGCCATTATTTGACAGGATGGAGGTGTTAGCTAATGCTATGGTGGTAATCATTTTGTAAGTGTATCAAATCAACACGTTGTACACCTTAAAGTTACACAATACTATTCAATTATATCTCAATAAAGCTGAAAAAGTAAAAAAAGACTGTCATTTAAAAATTATATGTCACGGTCTCTTCATAACAAAATATTGAATAAATTTACCTCCTCCTTTGGAGCAAAAAGTTATCAGCCAGCCAATACCAGCAGCAAAAGCAGTTTGTATGGCGTTAACGAAATTTCCTTAAAAGAAAATAAAGCAAATTTCTGATCACTTACTTGATAATGAAAACAGTTTTCTAAATGCTTTTTCCTTCTAATTTCACCCTCTTCCACTATACCAGTATTGGAATTCAGGATTTCCTAAAAATCCTCTTGAGCATGTCAAATTCATTCTCTGGCTCTCCCGTTTTTTCATCACATAAAATCTAAATTCATTATTTCATCAAAAAACTCAAATTGGTAAGGCCTGTTGTGATCTACCCATTCAGCCAGCCATATTTTCCCTGTGCCACTCCACAGCTTTATTCATCCTTTTGTTAGAGTCATGAAGTATTGCCAGTTCCCAAACACACAGTGAGCCTTTAAGGCTTCCTCCTCACTTTCATGATAGGTTGGGTCTGACATCATTCCAGAAGCAGTTTTTAACCTTTCCTGTTTTCCCCACCTGAGTTTTCATATCCTTCAAGCTTCCCTAAGCTTACCTTTAATATAATAGTGACTATGTTGAATTTTAATGGTTTACTAGTGTCTTCCTAGCTAAAATAATGAGGTCCCTCAAGGCAGGGATTATGTATTTTATTATTATAGCCCTAGTATTTAACATAGTTTCAGAGACATAACTGATATTCAATGAATACCCTTTAGATGTGAATACCATCATTTCATGGGTAATACAGAGTGGTTAAATAACCCACCTCGAGTCACTCAATGAATTAAAAGCCTAATATTAGAAGAGTTTTTAAACTTTAAAATTAAAATGAATAGGCATGAATTTACTGTCTGATACAGCACTCTTATGAAAGCAATAAAACACCTGGTTAAAAAAATAAAAAACCTGGTTTAGTAAACATTTAGTTGCACTTTGTATTTGCCTTTTCACCCATCCCCACCTCATATCTATTTCCCGTATCTTAATTGTTTTAGTTTCTGTACATATATAATTCATTTGTTAAATGCCTACTACTTAGTAGAGGTCAGAACAAATGACAATTCCCTCCCTAAAAAGCATGGAAAAAAAAAAAAGTCAATATTATGACCAAAATATTAACACTGCCACTGAAAAACTTAAATTATCAATTTTAAAGTAGCCCTAAAAATCAAGCAAATTAAGAAAATAAAATTACCTGCCCACAATTCCGTCACTGTGCTTCTGACATGCTGCATGGCGAAACTCACTAAACTCTCCTTTGATCTGTCACCATGGTATTTCACTGCAGCCTAGGTTGTTTTTTTAATAAAAAGAGAAACATTTTTTACTTTTTCTTTTTAAAACCCACTAAAAATACCAAATACTTCTCATGCTACATTATTTTGAAAAATACAGTAAGACCTGTCTCTCAAATGTAGTGTATTTTCAAATGATATGCTGAGAATCTTGAGTATACAGATTTCATTAAGACATTTTAACAATACTATTTATAATAATTTCAGTTTCAGTTTTATACTTAAAACTGGGAAAAAAAGGGATACCAGAATTTTATATTCAATGAGATAATACCTGAAAATACTTCGTAAGCTTTGTATAATTTTTATTCTATAAAGTAGAATATGCATATTGGTTATATTATGTTCTTTAAGACAGAAACTGAAATTGGCAAACCTTTAGTTTTGAAAGTACAGCTGACCATTGAACATGTGGGTTTGAACTGCACAGGTCCACTTATACTCAGAAGTTCTTCAATTGTCTCACTTGGTTTAACTGTCTGCAGTTCAAACCCCTGTTGCTGAAGGGTCAACTGGAGGTTGGGAATCTGTGAATGTGGAGTGCTCACTTGAGTTATATACATTTTTTTATAGGCACCACTATTCAGGGGTCAACTGTAATGGCACCTAAATGTATTTATAATATCCAAACTGTTTTATTATGACTAGAGCCTAGTTAGGTGGCACCTAAAATAAGACTTAAATATCAAAACATTCTACAAATTCTCACATTGTTTTCTCTAGTATTTTCCTTGTTATAAAGTTCCCCAAATTTAAAAAATGCTAACTTTCTCCCTTACCATTCCAGACCTAAAAATGAAGAGGCTGGGATAACTGTTTACTCCTTTCATTCGGCAAAGCATTCTATCATCACCACAGTTAACGGCTCCGATTCGAAGTAATCCATCCACTTCTTTAGCAAAGTCTCTCCACTATGAGAAAAAAGAAAGCATTAAGTATTTCTCTGAACTCCTCCCTTGAACAGTCTTCAAGCTATACATTCTTAAAGAATATTTTTAGCAAATAAAACCACAAATATGTGAAAATATATAATTATTTCTGATAGTTATAATTCCGATTAATAGAAAAATCCCCATATATTAAAAAACTCAAACAAATAGATTAGAAATAATAAAACTTTAATAATCATGATGTAAAAAGTACATACTGTGGGAGCTAAATCATGGCAGTGTGAACATCCTGGAGAGTAAAAGTTCACAAACCACAGTTCTCCAGAATTGACAGCAGCATCTAAAAGTATATGAAACCAAAGCAACTTAGAACTATTTATTAAAGTTTTTGTAAATTTTGGTTAAAAATTTTTTGTTAAGATCGGAAAGAAAAAAAGTTAGTCATATATCTTTCATACTGCCTTTATCAATCATTTTCTGTACAATTTTTTCTAAAAGAAAACAAATTTCAACTGTCGAATACCTTTTTCTTAAAAAAAACTCTTTGAAGCCCATACATGTATAAGAAGCTGCCTTGAAATGTACAATACTATGCCACCATGAAGCTGTAAAAAGGGAACAGCCGCCAAACCTCATAGAAGTGTTTGTGCAGATGAGAAAAATGAAGAGAAACAGTGAGAAAGAGTGAGATTTAAGCTCTTCTAATTCTGCAGCATAGGTGAAACATGGGGTTAATCAATTCTGACAGCTATTTCAAATTCTGAAAGAATGAAATAAGGGACCTACATGAAAGGACTCTGGGATTCAATTTAATCTTTGCCCTTAAAACATCTGCTTTGGAAAACTGTTATTTGAAAAGTATCAAGATTTTTAATAATTCAAAACATACATACTTACTTTGTAAAATAATAGATTTGAACACCACATAATGTCTAGCCAACAATATAGTATATATTATAATGTATAACATTATGCAAGTAAACAAAATTTATTCATTTAAAATTTTAACACTGTAAGGATGTGCTCTAACATTTAAGATAAAAAAGTGAAGACAATTTGCTTTTAAAGTTTCCATATAATTCCACATCAAAATCGGTGAATTTTTAAATAAAAATTTTCGTAGGTTGTAGTATGTATACTAACACATGAAAACATGCATACTATTTTAAGTATGTGTAACTGCTTCAGGTTAATTAGTAACATGCGTAGGACTCAATGTTCACCTCCATTTCAATTACAAACCACATAAGCTTATGGGAAGAACAGTTAACCCTTATATTATAGACAAGGTGTATAATTTAGTTATTTTATTAGCTGTTCTTTGGCAATGCTTAGAAACTGTGACAAATAAGAACACTATCTAGGTGGTGAAAATAATTGCCATGTTGACTTAGACCACCAATTGGTACTAATTTAGGTAAAATCTTAACAGTGCAAACTTAAATAGAAATAGGATATTTCATTATCTATAAACATGTAATAAGGTGGTTATTTACATATAAAAAAAGAACAATAATTAAATAAGGTATTATTGTTTGTAAGTCTTAAAAATATGATGCACAACAAATCTAAATGGTATCTAATTTGACAAAAAACCTTCCTTGCAGTAAATATGTCTATCTTGGTACTTGGATTTTATAGAGACCTTAAAATATTTACCCAGTTCCCACTGTTGTTGAGATCCAGTGACCCAGAATACAAATATATTTCAAAATGGTATTTTTGGGTTTCAAAACTATACAACTATACATATAAGTGAAATTATATGGTATTTGTCTTTCTCTGACCTGTTTCACTTAGCACAGTGCCCTCTAAGTCTGTCCATGTTATGGAAAATGATAAGATTTCATTCTTTTTTCTATGGCCAAGTAATATTCCATTGTATGTATGTCCATCTTTATAAATTTGTCTTTTGACTGGAGCATTTAATCCATTTACATTTAAAGTAATTATCTATAGGTATGTAGTTATTGCCATCTTATTGTTTTCTGATTGTTTTTGTAGTTCTTCTCTGTTCCTTTCTTATTTTCTTGCTCTCTTCCCTTGTAGTGTTCTGTTTGGATTCCCTTCTTTATTTTTTATCTCTTGTAGATTTCTGGTTTGTGGTTACCATGTGCTTCATATATACCAAGCTAGATTTATAGCAGTCTATTTTAAGTTGGTTGTTGCTTAAGTTCAAACACGTTCTATACTCATTACCATTTTTACTCAACCCTTCCACGTTAATGTTGTCATTATTTACTTCTGTGTGTATCCCTTAATTTACATTGTAATTACACATGATTTTCCTACCTTTGCCTTTTAACCATTTGTACTAGCTTTAGTATTGGTTTGATCCACTGCTTTTATTATGTGTTTGCCTTTGTCAGTGAGAATTTTTTTCCTTTGTGTTATTTTCTTATGCATAGATTTCCCCCCCCTATTTCTTAAAGAAGTCCTTTTAACATTTCTTGTAAAACTGGTTTGGTAGTGATGAACTGCAGCTTTTCCTTGTCTAGGAAACTCTTTATTTCTCCTTCCATTCTAAATATTAGCTTTGCTGAATAATCTTGGTTGTAGGTCCTTGCTTTTCATCACTGCGTATTTTATGCCAGTTCCTTCTGAACTGCAAAGTTTCTGTTGAGAAATCAGCTGACAGTCTTAGGGAGCTCCCTTGCTTTCTCCTGATGCTTTTAAGACTCACGTCTTTAACCTTTGGCATCTTAATTATGTATCAGTGTGGGTCTCTTTGGGTTCATCTTGTTTCGGACTCTCTGCTTCCTGGACTTTTATGTCTATTTCCTTTGCCTGGTTAGGGAAATTTCTAGTCATTATTTCTTCAAATAGGTTTTCAACCCCTTGCTTTTTTTTCCTTCTGTTACCCCTATGATGAGAATGTTGTTATGCTTGATGATGTCCCAGAGGTCCCATAAATTATCTTCATTTAAAAAAACTTTTCTTTACTATCCTGATTGGGTGTTTTCTGCTATCTTCTCTTCCAAATTGCTGATTCAATCCTCTGCTTCACCTCATCTGCTGTTGACTCCATATAATGTATTCTTTTCAGTTAGTGTATTTTTCATTGCTTTTTAAAAAAATGTTCCCTATCTATCTCCTTTTTAATGTTTCCCTGTTCTCAGGGACATCACCTATTCTGCCCCTAAGTTCATTGGGCTTCTTTATAATCAGTGTTTTGAACTTCGTACCTGGTAGATTGCTTACCTACATTTTGTTTAGTTCTTTTTCTGGAGTTTTGTCCTGTTGTTTCATTTGGGACATGTTTCTTTGGCTCCTCACTTTTGCTGTCTCCCTGTATTTGTTTCTGGGTAGATCTGCTAGGTCTTCCAGTCTTGGCAGAGTGGGCTTACATAGTAGGTGTCTTGGGGGGCCGGAGAGTGCAGTCTCCCTGTTCACAGCCAGGTGCTCCAGGGGTATCCCTGGTTGTGTGTATGGTCCTGTTGTAGTTGAGCCTTGATTACTGGTGACATGCCAGTGGGTAGGATGGAACCTCAGGCTGACAGTCTGTAAGTACTGGCTGTGACTATAGCAGACAAGCTGTTGTGTGGGCACTGACCCCACTGAGTGGGATTTGCTTTAGCAGGGCTCTGGTTCCTGTCAAGTTCACCCTTTAAGTGTGTATTTTATGGTACTAATTGGGTGATGCCCTGGTGTGGTTTGAAGCTGGCCACCAGATGAGTTGGCTGTGAGGCCTCTGGGGAGGGGCTTGGATCAGGCCAAGGTCAGCCACTGCCTGAGTTCAGCATGGGATCACTTGGTAGGAGTTATAAAGTGATTTGCAGATGGTAACTCACTGTGCTGGGCTTAGAGGTGCCTGGGTATGGTTATGCTCTGAACCAAGGCTGGCTGCCACTAATGTCAGGCTTGAGGCCACTCAGCAAGATGTACATGGCACGTGCCAAGGCCAGCCACTGCTTATTTGGGGTTTGGACCTTTGATAGACTTTAGGAAAGTCTGCAGTGTAGGCCCAGGTTTGCCATTTGTGTGGATTAGCCTGTGAGAGAGGTTCGGGCCTGGCACGTAAACTGAGTGGGGCAGGATTTCAGAGAATCACCAGGGTAGGGTGATGGTATTAGGCACGGTAAGGAAGATTTATACTTGGTGCTTGCCTGTGCCTGCACGATGTGCAGGAGGAGGGCTCAAAAAAGGAACAATAGTGCCTACTGGCACTTTAGTCTAGGAGAGAGCTGACCCTCTAGCCTTCTCCCTGATGCCAGGCAATTCAGTTCTTCCCTGTTTGTCCATAGTTGCTGCCCTTTCTCTAGAGCTTCAGCTGAGTGTTTGTGAGGAAGTGAGTCTGTGCTTGGGCCATTTAAGAGTATGCCTAGGTCCAACGTGGCCCTTTGCCTTACCAGATGTAATCCCTGATTTTCACACCCGGCTGTTGTGGGGACTTCTCTTCTTGGCACTGGAGCCCTGAGCTGGGGAGCCCAATGTGAGGCTGGGACCCACTGCATCTCACTGGGGACCTTTGCATCCAAGATATTCCTCCCAATTCTTAATCACCACATGTGGGCATAGAACTAGCCTGTTTCATGTCTCCACCCCTCCTACCAGTCTCAACATGGCTTCTTTATATCCTTAGTTACAGGGCTTTTGTTCAGCTCATCTTCAGGTGTTTCTCAAGTGTAGTTGTTCTATAACTTAGTTATAATTTTGAACGGTTGAAGGAGGAGGCGAACACAGCCTTTACCTACTCCACCATCTTGGTTGGAAGTCCGATGAGAACATTTTAAAGCTTTCAAAGTCGAGTTTATTAATCACATTTTTTCCTTCTATAGTTAAACATACTAGAGTTCGACTCCTGATAAAAACAAACTATGTAATTTAGACTAACTTTCCCACTACAACTATAGAACTGAATGAAATAGAAAAGATTTATGTTGAAAACATCCAACTTACCAGTGTGGTGAAGAATTAGGAAGACAATATATGGGAGGAGGTAGAAATCAGAGGATGAGTGCTTGTCACCTCTAGAAGAGGTAGTTGATAGGTAAAAGACAGAATTTTCAATAGATTCATGAGGATAAAGGGAGAAAAATGGAGTTCAGGGTACATGTAAGGAAGGGTCTTAAAAATAAAAACAAATTAGAAAATGACCAGTCGTCTTAAAATCCAAAGCTCAGCTTCTAAATTATTTCAGTCTCTGATCTGAGATTATTAGTGACCCTAGCCAGAAAAAAGCATAACTCTTTTCTGGAGAAAGAGTACATGACTTTAAAATAATGTAAATTTATATAACTTAAACAAAAGACAAGACTAAGCAACTCAAACCAACAGGAATAACTAGTAATGGAAAAGGACCCCACAACCAACTAGGCTAATGTGATATTTATGTAAGTACAAACTGGTAATGCTATCTATGGTTGCTATTTTCCCTTGGCTTCTTCAACTAAAACTTCAGCCTCAGCTTGTCTTAGCAGGGCAGTATGAAGAACAGTCTTAGACATCAGATGTAACGGTGGCAGCTTTGTTGTGTCCAGCTTTTATCCTCTGTGCAGATGTATGTATACCTTTTGCATGATCTGTATTATACTGCATATACAATTTTATTTTAGTGATAAAAATCACTAAACATACTCTAGGATGTTGTAAAAACCTACTTATATAGAAAAAAGAATGATATTGGTTCATTATAATTTCAAATGTGCCAATCATACACAAACACACATGCATAGAATGTTGAGGATATTGCTTAGTTAGCCCTTCCAAGATTTCATTTCCTCACGTGTAAAATGTGAGGAATAACTGTAGCTACTGCATAAGGAAGTCATTAAAGTTCATTAAGACAATGGAAGCAAAGTTGATGACAATAAAAAAATTATGTAAAAATCTTAATTATGATTACAGAACATTGTTTAATATATAATGTATACCATATAACCCTGCAAAAATCCAAAAAATTCTAAATTCTAAATACATTTGTCCTCAAGAGTTTTAGATAAGTGATTGGACTTGGACTAGTTTTAGAAAACTGTACGCCCATAAACTTACCAAATTCTCTTCTATCCAATGTTATGATTTCAGGATCATCATCATAAATACCTAATTTTAAAAGTATATAAAAATTATAAAATTAAAACTTCATCACAGAAGTAAATCACATTAAAAATAGGTTACCTATTACTCTTGTCTTAATCATAAAAAATCAGATTACTATACTAAATCTCAAAGTTGAAATATATGCAACAAACTAAGAGAAAAGGCACGAGTACACAAAACCACTGGTGGTTCATTTAAAGAGTGATCAAGATATTAGTTTTCTGATATGGATTGTCATAGGTAGGGGTGTTTGTGGGGTTCCTAATATTCACATAATTTCATCTCCACAGAAAATCTCTATTATGTTTTTTAAACTTTTTATTTTGAAATAGTTATAGACTTACAGGAAGTTGTCAAAATAGTACAGACTCTCATGTACCTTTTACTCAGCTTCCCCTAATGGTGCCATGTTATATAGTTTTAGTACAATATCCAAACCAGGAAATTGGCATTGGTACCTTACTGTTAACTAGTCTACAGACCTCATTTATTTTCTAATGATATGTTTTTAATATGTGGTATCATTTAAAATTACATTCTACGGCCGAAAATCTTATGATTAAAACCAATGTGACAAAATTTCTCATTACTATTATGAAGTACCCAAATAGTATTAGTGATGGCTATGGACCAAGGGTTAGCAAACTTTCTGTAGAGGCCAGTTAGTAAATATTTCAGGCTTTGTGGGATGTATAGTTTCTGTCACAACTACTCAACCCAGCCCCGGAAGTGTGAAAGCCGTAGACAATATGTAAATAAATAGACATAACTGTATGGCCATAACTCAGAAATATTTTGGGTTTGGTTCTAGACCACCCCAATAAAGCCAGTATCAAAGGGAGCTGTAATCTTATTGCTGGAGGGTTTTGCCTTCAATCTGTAAAAAACACAAGACCTGTGAATACCAATAAAATGAGATATGCCTATATCCAACACTGTAAACCATATTAAAGATGGCATTTCCACTGAAGTGACCACTATTAAACTTAGAAGAAACTTTAGCCTTTCTTGGAAAACATGATGCTCTAAAAATAGTGAAAGGCTTCAATATTTAACTTCTAATGCAAATATTTTTAAATTAAATAGCAATCCTTATTTTAAAAGTATTTAACAAGATTATAACCCAAACACCTTCATATCTGTGCAGGTAATAGCTACCTCCCAACTTTCTGTTTGAATTACCCATCAATGTTACATTAAAAAGAGTCAAGGTAACACACATTAATTACATAATTAAGTGGTGAAACAAAATTAATTTTCTAAATTATCCCAAATAAAAAACAAGAATTTCATAAGGAATATCATATCATCTTACCAAAATCATAACGATAATAATTCCAGCTTTCATACTGGCCTCCTTGATTATCTTCAAGTCCCTTTTCTCCGTATTTGTCATACTTTTTCCGCAGGTCTTCATCTTTGAGTACTTCATATGCTCTATTTATTTTTAAAAAATCACTATGTGCGTTTGGGTTATTCTATTAAAAAATATTAGATATAACATTTATTTCAGATACACATCAAGTTTCTTCAGAACCTATATCTAGATTTTATTTAATCCTGAGATTTCTGGGAGAATAGATATCAAAGTAAGGAGTAGTCAATATTAAGTGGGTTATCATGGGTTGAAATAAAAAAGAATTTTCAAAAAACTACAATCTTAAAAAAATAAGAAAAAGAAAAATGAGAACTGATGCCTCAAAAGACTGACAGATGTGATTATACAACATAAGTCATTCCTTCTAAGAAATGCAACTGAGAAAAAACTGACTAATGAACCCTTGGAAATCCTTAGTATTGTTAAGTATTATTTGTTACCCCTAAAACAATTACAAAGAAATTTGTAGGTTATTCTTCTATTTGAGGCAAAACTAACATATTAAATAAAAAAAAAGTGCCCCAATCCATCAGATAATTAAGTAATAACCAGTATCAGATTAACAACTTAAAACCAGATTGGAAATATTCCTTATTTGTTCCCGTTTCAGAGAATTGGTTTTTGAAGAATACTTTCATCTACCGTTGTTTAGGTCTACCACCTTTCATATGGAAACTTAAAAAAAAAAATCACATTCTAAAATTTTAAAAATAAAAAAATAAAAGCCCTAAAAATAGTAGAATATAGATTCCAGGGAAAGATTACCAAGTAATGACAGTTTTAGAAAAAGACTGATTCTAGTGCTCAGCTTTACGCAATCAAAATAAAAGTCCCTTTAAAAAAATTCTATCTAGAAAATAGAAAATTATAACCACATCTTTCTCCTTGATGAGTGTCAAATTGCAATAAAAAAGGTGAATTATAAAAATACCCTAAGAATTAAAACTAATTTAGTTTTGAAAGATTACATTGTTGGATACATAATCAAATGTTTATGATTGGAATTAAATGGATTTGGCTGTACTCAAGTTTTATTTATACTTCCTGACTCTGGTCTTAGACTTGTGCATGGGAGAAAATACTGAAATAGTAGTATCATGCTATTAATAGCTATTACTGCCATTTTTAGCAAGACATACTCTCTAAGTTCTAAGGAAATAATTTTTTTTACTGCTCTAAAATACTTGACCTTAACCTACTTTACTAAGAAAACTACTTCACAGACTTATTATCTGCTTTTGGATTAACATCTGTAATGCAACTGTTAGAAATTTAGTTTTTAAATTAAGAGGGAATTGCATTTTTGGTACTAACATTCTGTTACACTGCTCTACATGAACATTTTGCTTCTTCTGTTTTTAGTATATAAGTTGAATTAAAATTTTTGACATGTGACTGTGTAATTTAAGTAGATACCCAAAGTTACCAAAATACATTACTCAAATATGTTTAAAGAGAAATTTTTACCTACCGGGTTTTTATCAGGATGAAGCTTCAATGCCAGCTTCTTGAAAGCTTGTCTTATTTCTCTACTGCTCGCAGTTTTGGATACTCCAAGTAAACTGTAAAAATCCTGATCTGTGTCCACTGAAACGGCCATATACACTATTAGAAAACAGAGAATGACCCTTTTCAAGTCTCTGACATTGTCATCTTTATTTAACCAGACTCCCATTGTTTTTCTTATACAAGTTCTGATTTAAGTGAACATTAAGATACACCACTGGTTCCGGTTGATGTAATATGCAAGGTTGAGAACTTCTGTCCACATTACTCCAAGGGTGACTCAATCACGATAAAACTGTCTCCCAAATGTTAATCTAAAGAGAGGAAACCAAGTAGTTAAAATACATTTAAAAAATCCAAAACCCAGCAATAACACTATTTATTAAAATAACATGGTTAGCAATACAATCTCCATTAAATAGCAAATCAGAGTGAGTGCCCCAGACTCTATTTTTGGGAGGCCCCTTTCCCTGGGTATCCAGATTTGTGAAATCACCCAAGATGGCAGGTAAAAAGGTAAAGCTAGTGTGTGGCTGTAGCTAGCTAGAACATCTACAAAACAAACTGAGCAATTTTTTTCTGATCAGCACCAGAACACAAGGGGGGGGCGGCTAGGGCAGTTTCCTTCCTTTTTCTACCCAGCTTTAAGCATTGCCCTTTGTAGTATCACTTCCTTGTTGGCTACTTGTTCACCCCTTTAATACTATCGTTTTCATTTTAATCAGATTTTACTTGTAGCAAATATCCTTTGGGGGGGGGTAACTACAAGGAAGCACAGGTGCCTTCCAGAGGGTATTTTCCACGTAACCCTTCCAAAAATGGCAGTAAATTGTTATTGCATAGGAGGCTGTTCCCCCCCCCCCCAAATTTTCTCAGAAGGTGCTTACATTACATGTAAATGGAGAGTATTTTATAAAAATAGAAGAATAAAACCTACAAGTTAACAGTGTGACTTTATTGCAAAAGTTTACATTTGGCAGAAATACTAACAGAAAAAGAGAAAAGAAGGGAATCAGTTATTTAGACATGGGCACCTGTGTAGGGGAAAAATAAGATCAGGTCACATTTAAACTTGTATACTTCCAAAGATCTCATAAAGCTTAGGAAACGCTAACCTTCCTAGCATCCTCAAGCTTCCTTCATTTAATCCTAAATGTCCATTTACAACTTTTGTCCTTACCTGTGTGTGGTCATTGGCTCATTTCTAATCCCTCCTTTTCATGCCACCAAAAACTACCTTTGGAAAATACAGCGATGGATAGGAACAGATATCCAGACTAGAAAACGAGGACTGATTAAAACAGGGAACTTCTCAAAGCCTACTTTGGGTGAAGCGGTGCTCCCCGCCTCGCCGTCCTCAGCGTGGGCGTGACGCCTTGCCCGCGCCACGCTGCGGGGACGGTGAGCGCTGCGGGGACGGTGAGCGCTGCGGGGGCGGTGAGCGCTGCGGGCCAATGCAACGCCAACACCTGGCAGCGACCCCTCCAGAAGGCGACGCGCGGGGGGAGGAGACGGAGACAATGGGTCCCGGGGCCGCGCGGGCTGCTGCCGCTGCGTGACGGCTCAGGCCAGAAAAGGGAGAAAGATGCCCGAGTGACTGAAGCTCAAGCGGGAAGCTGGAGCACGGAGCGGGGAACCGCTGACGGGCCGGGGGGCGTGGGTACCAGGAAGACGACCGGGAGGAGACCAGCCAGCC